CACACTTGAACCTTCGACGTAAGCACTTCTTGTTGTTGTTTTGTGTTATTTGTCCTTGTGTTTGAGAAAATTTCGTCCCAAAATTGACCTTACAGAGCCATATTTACTAGACTTGTCGACTATTTTGGGACGCCTTTATTTAGAAGGTTCCTCCTTGTTTCTATTCATAACTACGATTGACAGATGTTTTAAGGATGGAATTGTGGCATAGGCATAGTTACAGACGGGTGCTGTTATTTTCCAACTGTACATTTCGATTGAAAATGACCAGAAGTAACTACATCCAGAGCTAGCGCACGCACCAATTAGTGTACACACCAATTGGTAGACTTGTTTGTGTTGAGAACCGCTTTGCTCAATGAACCCTGCTAATTGTTCGTAAAACAGTATGTTAATTTCGCTCTTCTTTTTATGTTGAAATATAACTTCTAAATTACATATCCAGTGAATACAATCGCCTCACATCGCTCCTCGCAATTCAACAGAACCATTCTGTATTAGCATAATGGCTTTACTCAAAGCATCAGCGTGATCTTGATAAGAAAGAATGGGGGTTTTTGTCTCGCTACTTGACCAACGAATGCTATTTGTGAGGGACGTCGTTGGCGTTTCAGTGGCTGTGCTTTCATTGCTGGCTAGCTGATACTGTTGTGGATAATTGTATGTAAATGAAAAGGCGCTGTAGTCTTCCACGGCCTGGTTTATAGGACCAGTTGTTGGAGGTAAATAAGATGTTGACTACCTTGCATCCATCTCGTGTCGATTATTGAAGAGATATCCATTATAAAATGTTGGTTCTGAATCACCTTGAGAATAGAGAGTTTCCAATTCTGTAATAAAAAAAATTCTTAATTAAGTAAAAACCAACATCAACAATTCTAAACGCCGACAAGAAATTGAATTTCAAGTCTCAAAAGATACTTACAATCTTGCTCGGAACTGCGACATCACGGATTTGAGCTAAAATGACCTTTGTAGATGACACGTGTGCCCCCAAACTTTCTTTCACAGCGTGAGCTATGTCCGGTTCTGTCATCAAGACCTTCGCCGATGAGCGTCTATTGACTGGCAAACTCGGTATTTCTTTTTTCCCTATCTTTCGCTCTGGGGTAGCTGTCAAGGGAAACTCTATTGTTCTCGAGACATATCCCAGCTCCAGACGATAAAATTTCCCCGAGGTAAGTTACCTGGGGAAAAATCGGTCATACTTAAAAAATTGAGTTTGCCGAGGTAAACTATCAACAAGTCGACTTTACCTAGGTAAAAATTCTGTAGTGTGACCACAGCTAATGCAATCAATTATTGTTTTATAGTTTTGTTACTTGTACTCGTGGCTTTCCTTGGTATATCTGTACCTTAAAAAAACCAGTTCCAACCTCTCTTTGTTTACTTTCTTTTTTTTTCATTCATTTTTCCTTTTTTTTTGAAAATAGCAATACCTTTGTTGATGAGGGGAAAAACTTAGGTGATGGCAAGAATTTCCAATTCAAGCATGGGTATAATACAGAATGTACTAACTTGATGGATGTTGTGAATTATTTCACCCTTTTTGGCACTACCCTAAAACATTTTGTTTGCCTTACATTACAGCGAACAAGTGTTTGTTTACAAAACTGCAGGAAAGGTAGACAAACTTGCTAAGGTGATATACCTGCGACCAAAGGACAGCAATGACACTAATGGTAACCCATTGCTTTCTTTCATATTGGATAAGAATGTTAAGGATAGGTTAATAACTAAAAGTAAGTCTGACATAGATTTAAAATAAATGTATTCATTTTTGATTTGCCTTTTTTAATTTGTAGATATGTACTCTTCCCTACAACTTTCAAAAAAGTTGTCCTCTTGTAGTAATGGCAATGACATACCACTTCCAGCTGAGACTTCTGTTGGGCATAACAGCTTCAGTAAACTTACGGTGACCATTAATAGTAGTGACCAGTAATATTACGATGACCATTGAATAAATTGCAATAGAGGATGAGACCTGGAAGACGAGTGAAGGTTTATGATTTCATAACTATTAGTAGGTAACTCAACTACTGCAATTGTTGTTGATAGTTGAATTTGAGATCATTTTTTGATATCAGAGCTCTTACAATCATGATGCATCAATAGTTTGATGTATTGTTATAAATACAGTACAGTGTATATGGGCCATCATAGGATTCCTATATGCCTTCCTAGCCTGCAAGCAAGCTCTCCTATTTGGTCGAGCAAAACGGGCCGCGCGAGCAAGCGGCGAAGCTGCGAGGGGCTGGTGAAAGAAGAGCTTGCAACCATCCCTTACAAATTTTCATTTGTACTTCGCCCAGACGAGGGGAAATACCATTGGCTGAAAAATGACGTTCCGGAAATTAAAGTTGAGTGATACCAGGCCTAGCAGGCCTACCCTAAATTTTCCCGGGAAATGCAGAAACACGATGTTCTTTTCGCCAAAAACCCGTGTTATGAGCTCACTCCGAAAAAGAAAACCGGCAGAGGAAGAAAATCGCTTTCTCCTTCTGTCATAGACAACTGTCGTCTGTGTGGTTGTTCATTTAAAGTCAAATTTGGATCTCAGGCCCATCATTTTGGTGTTATTCTGGCAAAGCTGTGTGAAAGTGTTGGCTTGCCAGTAAAATATTGCGAGGATAAGTCGAGATCAGAAACCTTCATCAGTTGTTTTCGAGTGAAGAGAGATTCAAGCGCTGCCTTCCAACGTCGGTTTCCTCGCCCGATCGAAGTCCACTGAGCAGGAAAATTAAAAAACAAGTACATGGCAGAGTAGCTGACCAAGAAATAGCAGTTGACTGCCGAGAAGAGCAAGAGAAAAGAGGAAGAAACAAGAGTAAATCGAAAAAGAGCTAAGTCCAGGAAAACGCTGTTCTCCATTTCCGGAACGGACAAAGAGAATGTTGTCGATTTAAGCGACGATGGCCTTAGTCTTCTGAATGTGGACGAGTTTTCTAATGCAAAAGAAACTAAAATCAAGGTACTGATTTCTTATCTGAGCGGACACGTTGAAGTCTGCTCTCCAGAAGATTAAAAAGCCATATCATTGGTCAAAAACATTGCGCTGAAGCAGTGGGAAGCTGTTGCGAATGCGATTTTCAATGTAGTAGAATGGAAGGAAGAGTTACCGGCAGCCTTGAAGCGACGCGTTTCCACAGAGTTTAGAGAGTATTGTAGAACCGACTCTGTTTTAAACTTTTGTGATCCAGAACAGTTATCTGCTTTCAGCAATTGTTTGGTTTTGCACGAAGTAGCAATATTTTGCTCTCTCTAGAACGCTATCTATCAGAATCTGAGGCATTTGATCTTATGTACAACCAGTTTCATAATGAACGATGAGGGAAGGGCAATAATATTCCTTTAGATTTAAGAAAAGAACACGACCATCATGTCATAAAACCCATGTGGAAGGCACTTGGCTCCAACCTTAATGAAGAGAATGCTGGTCGCATAGCACATTCCTTAGAGGGTCTTAAAAGAATTCTACATTCAGTGGATAGTGACTGTGGATTGAATGCAAGAAAGGGTTACAGATCCTCAAAATTACCAGCTGAAACAGTGCAACAAATTGTAAATGATTTGAATCAAAGTGGTGGCTTTAGTTTCACAGGAGGTAGGGACGGATATCCCTCATTTGAAAATTTCCCTAGCAATCTCCTAAGTTCTTTAGATTACAGGGGACTTCACAACTGGATGACTGATAAGGTAAGGTTGTGGGCTTCGATTTTTGAAGATGTATAAGACAATTTTTTTTGCATTCTTAATTTGATACTTTTTAATGTTACATCATGATGCAAAGTTGGAAATGATTATAATAATGACAACAAGAAATGTCATGGGAAAATGTCAAGCAGAAATGTGTCCACATTATGCACAGATGTACATAAATTATATTAATGAGTTATTAACAATATTGACATGGTTACCATCAGAAAGACATTAGCTTTTGTATTTACAACCTTTTTTTATAACAGGGCATGAAATTGTCACTTTTTGGTGGATATGGGTGATTTGGGTTGGGCCAATTTTTTTTCCCAAACCCCTGGTGATAACATTTTTTTTTCTCTGACATACAGTGTAAGATTGTTTTTTCGGGCTGGATTACAAGCCATGAAATAGATTTTTTTCAGTGAACGAAATTTTTTTCCTCAGGTATTTCTTTGCAATATTTTTTTCTCTCTCAAAATCAGTCCAGAGAGTATTAATTTATTTCTAATCACCCATAACCCAACTAGGCCCTTGTCGATTATGCTAGTAAATCTGGCATTTAATGCTACTAGAAATTCTCGCATAAAGCCTAAAAAAGGCTAAAATAATGCCTGATTTCTTTAAAAATTGCCACTTTAATTGCAAAAAATGCTTTGTTTTATTTCAAACAAAACGTACAAACTCTTACATTATATGCTCATATCAACAACAGGTGATACTTAATAATTGTTTGTTTATAAAACTTGGGGTCAGAATTAAAACTTTTCTAGCCAGCAGCCACTAAACAGTCATATTTGAAGCACTACCATGTGCTGGGTACACACAACCTAGACTAGCACAATTCTGTTCAGCTTCTAACTCGTATAAAACGTTTACGTTTCAGTATACTGTAAGCAGTTGTGAGCGCTTATCGCTTGTTGTATTGTGCCATCACACTGGCTTGAATGTAATCGACGAGAGCGCAATCTTGCTGCTCATTGAATGAAGCTTTCAGGATTGAAAACACCCTTTCTGCGGCTGCAGAAGAAGGCTGTATGAGTAGGACTTGCTTTACCGCCATAGCCCAACGAGGAAGTCACTCCTTACCCAATTTGAACAAAACATAATTTGGCACTTCAGCTATGTCTTTCATTGTGTTACAAAATAGTAACGTCTTTGGGCATTCAGGTCCATTCTCTCGTATCATTTTGACCATCCAGTGAAGGTTTTCAAAGCATCACTCTTCTTTGTTTTGATTACTGAGATCTGAAGGTTTTCCCGGTTTGGACTCACAAACAATTCCACCTTGTCTTTTTTTAGACTCAGGCCAGAAGAAATGGCCTCAGAAGTGCCCTAGTCTGCTGTAATGCCTGTCAGGACCTTTCGTAACCTATGCATGTCATTGAGCATAAGAGGAAAGTTAAGCTCCCGATGGAGGTCCTACACTGCCACCAAGTACAGCTGTGTTAGCTAAATGAGATGCAAAATACATCAGGGTTATCTCTGAGGCTGGTAGGAGGGGGGTTGAGGGGCCTACTAAACAATGCATGAGGGTAAAGGTGAGGAAGTGCTTGACACCAACTTGA